GCCACAGCCAGCTCCCCACTGCCCGGCTTTTCTCACTCCCCCCGCAGATCTGGGGAGGCCTCGGATCCCTCGCTGTGGGGTCAGGGCGCAGCTGTCACGGCAGCGTTTGCGCCAGGATGCTGCTGACAGTGTCTGTCCTTCCTCTTGCAGCCCTGGGCTGTGTGTCCTGGCTGCTGCAAGTGGTTTTGGGGTCAGAAAGGCCAAATCATAACAACCTGAATGGGTCCTGCGTGTGCTTACCCAAACCCTGTGCTCTAACAAGCGATGAGAGCAGCACACCAACCCTGCCTCATCTCCACTTAGGGGGATAAGACTTAATTAGGGTTAATTTAGGGTGGGTTGCTTGAAGCCCAATGCCCAGGGAGCTGCAGCAAGCCCTGGCTCCCAACACTGCTGTGTTTTTGCCATCATGCTCTGGCCAGCTCCTGCCCCAGCCACACACAGCCCCCTCCAGCTGCTCCTGCCCTCCCTGGCTCAGGGATGGGTGAGTTGGGCAGCGCTGCTGCTCCTCCCAACAGCTCACCAGTCAGTTAATCACCACGAACACGGGAACCTCTGAAACATCCAAAACACAGGGTGGATTTATACAGTTCCTGCCTTGCCGCACCAGCAGCTTTTCCCAGCTCCTGCCAGGGTGGGTGGCTGCTGCAGCAGCGATAAAAGGGGAGAGGCCACAATCCTGCCATCGCTGATGAACGAGCTGAAAGGGAAAAGCGGAGCCCTGCACAACGCTGGCTATTCAGCCTGCACCACACACACCTCCGGGATGCTGCCCTCCTGGGAATGCTGGTGGAAACCATCACAGCCACTGCTGTGTGTCCAGTGAGAGCTGAGGGAGACCCTCGGCTGGGCAGGGGGGTCTGTGAGCAGGGCCCGTGGGGCAGCAAGGCCGTGCTCTCCCCTCCACGCTGTCTCCAAACAGCCACCACCCGGAGCGAGCGCCAGGGCCTTTGTGCAGCCAATGCCAACCTGCTGTGTGGGGCACAGGAGACCAGGACACGCCAGGCTCCAGGGCACAGGACCAGCCCAGGCTCATTGAGGTGCAGGCAGGAGCACCCCACTGCTGCCAAACCACTCCCTCCTGCCTGGGGCAACAACCCACTTCAGCCCCAGGACAAGCCAGGCGCAGGCAGGGGCTGTGCTAGCCCAGGGGGAGACCACACAATCCCAGTTTAGCCACTGCAGTGCTGGGAGCTGCTGGCACTGACACCTACCCACGGGGTCTGGCGGGGTGGGCTCCTCTCCCCACACGGGTCCCAGGTGGGTTCCCTCATCCTGACGGTGGGACGCGGCAATCGGCACCTCTGGGGACGAGGTTATTATAACAGTTTTATTACAAAGTTCCAATCACCATGTACAGTTTTTACAATGTCACTTTTCGGGGGCTCAGCTGTGCTGCTTGGGTTAAGGAGGGATTTATTTATTTTTTTTGTTAGAGTTTTTTTTTTTTTGGTTATTTTTTTTTAAAGAACAGCACCATTAATGTTGGTTTTGGGACACACCTACAAAAAACAGCTCAATCAACTAACATAGAGGAGACATGACAATTCATACCAGAGAAGAGGAGAGAAGGAGAGGGGATGGGGAGAGCACAAGGGAGAGACAGAGAGGCAAGGGCAGCCCGGTGGTGGTCCTCCTCCTGGCTCAGAAACCTGGTTGCAGGTGGGTGACCCCCCGACATGCACAGCCAGCGCTGCCTACAGCTGTCAGTGCTTGGGCTGGGAGGTGGGAAACCCACCCGGAAAGGTCTCACCCCCAGGAGGAAGAGCTCGGCTGCGCCGTGGTCTTTCAGAGGTTGTCAGCAGTTAAGACTTTGTTTGGCCTCATCAGGGCACCAGTACTCAGGGGGGAAAGGAAAACGGGTCGGGTTCCAAGGGGGCAGTTTCCTTATTGCTTCCTTAAAGTCATTTAGTCAGCAGGGGTGGTAGGAAAGGAAAGAAGGGGGAGAAAGAGAAGAAAAGAGCCCCAAGAACCCCATCCACTGCCTGATGCATACGTTGGGAAGAACACCATGCAAAAAAGATTTGCCTGCTAGCTAGTGCCGTGTATAAAATAACGATACGGTAACAGTTCTGGCCTGGTTATTAGAGAATATATCACCATGAAGCACAAGCGAAGTCTCCAAACGCCAACGACTCCCTGCTGAAAGTGCATCTCAAGGAGTTTGCTTAGGAGAAGGATTCACTGCGTAAAACAAGGCACCACAAGAAGGTTGGATACTGGGTCGGGCGTGAGGACACGCTGGAGAATCCACGAGCGGCGGAAGAGAGACCTAGTTTTAAATAATGTCTGTTGGTGCAGAAGCTCCCTTAGATGGGCTCGGGTTTTAGCTTGTCTGCTAGAAAGTCGCTGACAAAGGCTTCCACGATCTCGGGCGTGATCTCCTCCACATCCATCACATACTTGGCCCGGGCTGACATGTCCAGGATGGTGAGCAGGGGCGCAGCCTCGGGCAGGTTGGTGTAATCCCGCAAGGAGTCAGTCATGTCATCCTAGGAGCCAAAACAAGAGGGAGAGAGGACTCATCAGCAGAGCCAGGACAACCAGGAGCAGTTTGGTGCTTCCACAGCGTGGTCCAGACCACAAATATCTCCTGATATTGCAGGACCATGAGCAGAGCAGGCAGCACCCACGTGTGGTCTGTGTCAAAACCAAACTGGGCTGATGTATGCCAGGCTGGGATGCGACCACACACTCCTCCCACCCTTTCCACACTGGGGACAGCTCCCAGCACCTCCAGACTGACCCACTGCCTTGGGCCACCCCAGAGACTCTGGGGCAGGAGTTGTGGCATCCACAGCTCAGGAGCTGGGACAAACGCCAAATGCGGTGACTCGCCAACCCTGTGCCAGCCCA